CCCGGTGGTGCGGCAGGAAGTGTCTGCACCTTACCTGAAAGGCTGCAGGACCATTTCTCTCTTCTCCTTACGAGGCAGGATGGGGGAGAAAAAAAAGAAATGAGAAACAGCCAGTCACTCGTGCTGCCTTTGCTGAAGATAGCTTGAGACAAGACAGACCTATTTCCCAAAGGGTCCTGCCCCTTATTATTGCATTTCCTGTTAACATAATTTGCTTCCACATTTTTAAAATGAGTCTCCTATGAGGCGACGCCGAGGTTGGCCCGAGGGTTCAGATTTCATCTGCCTAGACATTTTATGTGCAATGAATAAATGCACATCATCAACGGTTTCGAAACGTAAAGAAAAAAAGGACCAGTTTTACTAGAACACAGTAGGAAAGGAGGAGGTATAACCCATGTCAAGTGCCTAGGTCAGACAAAAAAGTTATAGCAGGGGTCTTCGTTACTGTCTCTGCTGTCTCCTTGTTAGGGTCTGGCTATCTCTGTCCCCCTCCTCGCCCCCCAGGCACTTTCTCCGCAGGCCGCAGGTGTTTTCAGGCCCCAGTGAGCCCAGGCAGCGGCAGGGCAGGCCGTGCACCGTCGAGAAACATACACCTGCAGAAGGTGCATGCATCTGGTGGACCACCAGCCTTCTCGGGGAAAGGATGAAACAGCCCGTAGTGGTGTCCACCTTTTTCTTTCAGTATAGATTTAGGCTGGGCAATTAGCTTGGAGGGAATCTCTCTGAGACCTCAGAAGCACGGTGGATTAATCATGCCCATTCTGGCAAGAGGGTTTGTCCTCAGACTTTTACTCCAGGGCTGAACGGACACACTTTGGTTGGCTCATCCTGCCACGCCTGCAATACAGCATAATGCGATTGCTGCTGGGTATGTATTGCCTTGTGGCTGCATGTTGGCATTTCGTGACTTACAGTTTGGACATTTGCATTGTATTTCTCACTTTGGAGGGAGTTTGAGGTGTTTTCAGCATTGTTGCCCCCGGGGCCTTTGGAACAAGGAAATTCAACAGTAAATGGTTAACTGCATGTTCCTGCACAATGTGTGCCTGCCTTTGAAGAGGGATCTGCCGAGGCAGCCGACAGCAAGGTGTCCCCCTCTCTTGTCCAACGCAATATCCCCCTTTAGTGCCAGAGACACTGCAGGAGCCACTTCCGCACCCACAGGCAGCCTGGGGTCAGAAGCACCATGAGCTTCAGCCTTACAGGTTTTTGCTTCTTTATATGAACTGAGCATATTTTTCACCTTCTGTTTGCCTGGGGCCCTTTTCTCAGCATTAGGGGAGGGAGGTGACACTGTAGGCTGGCCTTGTTTCTCTTTCCGAAGTGATGGCGTGACAGAAGATGCAGTGGAGGGCTCAAAGGGGAAGGTCCTTTGGTCGGGGGCAGAGGAATTGTTGTCATTTTTAGCTGAAATGGCTGCTAAGTCGCATGCTCTGACCTGCCACACGGAGGACTGACGCCAGTGGGCCGGGAGGCGGAAAGGCTCAGTGGCAGCGACGAAGCGCCCGCAAGGGTCTCTGCGCGGCCAGGTAGCCCCACCTCTCATCTCTCCCGCAGGATGGGCTGTTGCAACCTCACGGCCGCCAGCTGCAAGGACCTCGCCGCTGTGCTCGGTGCCACGCCGAGCCTGGCCCACCTCGACCTAAGCGACAATCCCCTGGGCGACGGCGGTGTGCAGGAGCTGTGCAGGGGACTAACGCAACCCAGCTGCAGGGTGCAGAAGCTCTGGTACAGGGCGCCGGGCTCATGGGCTTGCTCCGTGGGGATGGCTCTTCCCAGTGGGAAATTTTAGGGCAAGGATGAAGCCCACAAGGGCAGTGGGGGCCACGCGACTGGGTGCGTAGGGTGCTGCTCTGGGAATCATCATCCCTTGCTGTGCCTGGGTAAGCGAGCCTGCCGTGTTGCATCGCTCCCTGCCTGCCTTAGCTGCACTACTAATAAATCAGCGTGACCATATCTTCGGGTTCATAAAGCGGTCAGTGATGTTCGGAGATGAGCTGCCAGGGGATAAAGCTTCGCGTAGGCATGGCATTCACCCCGTGTCCCCCGCACAGGCTGTGGCGGTGCTGCCTGACAGGGGGGGGCTGCAGGGCTCTCGCCACGGTGCTTCGCGTAAACTCGAACCTGACGGAGCTGCACCTGGGGGACAACAAGCTGGGGGACAGAGGCGTGCGGCGGCTGTGCGAGAGCCTGCAGGATGCCGCCTGCCGGGTGCAGACGCTGAGGTGAGGGGCTCCCCCGGGTGCTCCCCGAGGGCCGTGAGTCGTGGGCACCGTCGGGTGGGCACCAAGAACCTCTGCAGGCAGGATGTCCACAAGTTAAAAATATAAAGCAATTACCATCTAGCATGCAGGAGGTGGCAAGGATTTCATGCACTCCTAGGCATACAATAGTACGCTCGCTGCCCTCCTAAGACACCTAAACAGTGCTTGCTGGCCAGGCATGCATCTGTCAGCAGGGGAAAGGTTTACCTGCTGGGATGCTGTCTTTCACCAGCTCCTTCAGCACTGACAACTCCAGTTTTCCCATTCAGATTGTATACCCTTCTGTGCTGATCTTTTTGCCTCGTGAGCTACTAACGAGCCCTATCTCAGCAGTCCTACGAACACAGGCAGTGGAAAGCCAGGCAGGGGAAACGGCTGCAGCGGGCTTGCAAAGCGCGAGCGGGTGGCAGCGCCTGCCCTGCCAGCAGAGGGGGAACACTCTGTAAAAGCGGGTTGGGTGGCATTTCCCAGGGTTTGGGCAATGTCTCCCTCACCTGCACAGCTATGCAGCCCTGGGAAAAGGTGCCCAGACTCGGCAGGTGGAGGG